CCCGATGCGGGGCTCGATCCCAGGACCCTTGGATCATGAACTGAGCGGAAGGCAGACGTTTAACGACTGAGCCACCCAGGCGCCCCATCTTGGGATATTTCAGCCTCCATAACGCATAAGCCAATTCCTTGTAAAAATTGATAAATAAATCCAGTTGGTTCTGGTTCTCTAGAGAACATATACTGATATAGTTGACACTTTAGTATCCATTCCCCTCGCCATCTTCCTAGTGAAACTGAATTTGTCCAGGCATTCACCCTCCTCCCCTTAGCCACACGCCCCTTCCCCATCCTGGGTAGGTTCTTTTTTTTAGAGTGAGAGAGGGAGAGAGCTCGTGCCTGCTGCACAAATGGGGGTGGGTGCTGGGTTGAGGGGCAGATTTCTTATTTTGCAAAGTACCTTTCCTCATTGCAAAGTCATTGACTTAGGGTTTTCTTTTACTTGCAGTTGAAAGCGTCTTCCTGATAGAATTATTCTGTGTAATGTATTCATCCGTTTCCATAAACATGAATAGGAAAAAAAGATGTGACCTGCTTTTCCATTCAAAAAAATGGACATCTTTCTATGTCAATAAAATATAGATCCAGATCATTAATTTTCATATCTATGAAAGGATTTAACAAGTATGGATGTTTCATAATTACTATCCTTTATTATTGCATATTTAGATTGATTCCATTTTTGCTATCATAAACAATATTGTAATTGGAAGGCACCCTTAATTATTTCCTTTAGCTATAATCTCAAAGGTTGGTACCAGGTTTTAAATTGTAACAGGTAAGGGTTAGAATACATAATGATGCAGCAAAGCATTTTCTGGCTAGTTAGGGACTAGGACATTCTGAATGGCTCTGGTGGATAGCAGGTCGCTGGAAGAGATGATCTCACCATGATAAATTTCTAAAATTGAGGCCAAAAAAAAAAAAATCTCATTTCCTCCTGTAGACAGATAATAACTGCTAATCTCAACTTTGTCCTGCTTGATTTTCCTTAAAGAAGGCTGGATTTTTTCCTGATTTTTCCAAGGCAAGTTTCATTCATTCATTCATTCAGTCAGTCAGTCAGTCATTCAACAAGTTTTTATTGAGAGTGCACTGTGTGTCCATATTGGGGATATGGTGTGGATAAGCCATATTGTAACCGAACTAACAGGAATTCACTCCTTGGTGAGTCACACATAGAAACTACACCAGCCAAGGACTCCTGGGTGGCTTAGTCGGTTAAGCATTTGTCTTAGGCTCAGGTCATGATCCCAGGGTCCTGGGATCAAGTCCAACATCAGGTTCCTTGCTCAGAGGGGAGCCTGCATTTCCCTCTGCCTGCCTCTACCTCTGCTTGTGCTCTCTTTCTCTGACAAATAAATAAATTAAAAATCTTAAAAAAAAAAGAAAAAGAAAAAGAAACTACACCAGGTAGAGGTGTCCCACAAAGGATACTTTATTTGCAGCAAATAAGTTGATCACAGGGAATAACTTCCAAAGCCATGATTCCCTGAGCAGTGGTGAATGGATTCCTTTTGTTTAGGGTGAGGATGAATATTTAGAAAGGGGAGATTGTCACACATGCTCCTTAAGGAAACATGCCTATACATACATTGCATGTTATGTTAATGAGGTTTGTGCTCCTCCTTGGGTGGAGACTTTCATATTATAATGAAGTAAAGGTAACTGCCCATCACTCTGTGGGTCATTCCATGGTCCATCTATGCAGGCATGAGTTGGGGATTAAGCTCAAAGTGGTCTGGGTGGTCTGGGCTGCCAGAGCTCTTCATCCAGGAAGTCATTATTGCTTGAGAGGTAGTTTTGGTTTTCCATCACGGGATGTTACGCTCCTTGGGTCTTTTGTCTGAGTTAAGAGATGAACTGGAGGGTGCCTGGGTGGCTCAGTCGTTAACTCTGCCTTCAGCTCAGGTCATGATCCCAGGGTTCTGGGATCGAGTCCCACATCGGGCTCCCTGCTCAGCGGGAAGCCTGCTTCTCCCTCTCCCACTCTCCCTGCTTGTGTTCCCTCTCTTGCTGTCTCTCTCTCTGTTAAAAAATAAATTAAAAAATCTTTAAAAAAAAAAGAGAGAGAGAGATAAACTGGAAAGAAGAGCGTAAGGAAAACTGTAGGACAAAGGTCAGTGGGTACAAGCAGGTGAGTAAAGTTAGGTCTTGGAGTCTAGCTGGTGACAATATGATGTTATTTTTCTCGTGGAACTCATATTTGAGCTGCGGGGAGACAAACATTAAGCAAGTAATCAAATCCATAAAATAACAGATTGTGATCAATGCTGTGAAACATGTGAACTGGATGGCATGCCCCTGGGGACCTTGGGGTTGGGGACATCAGGAGGAGTCAGTCAGGCTTGTGGAAGAATGTTTAAGGAGTGACAGCACAGCTGAGACATGAATGGGGATGGCAGTAGCCAGGCCAAGAGTTGGAGAAAAATCATTCCAGGTACATGGAAAAGTAGGTGCAAAGGCCCTGGGGTGGGGTTGAGTGTGCCTAAACAAAGAAGAGAAAGGATGCAGTAGAGTCTGAAACCCAGTGAGTACTCAGGGCTCCTCCAGTCCATAACTCCCTAGAGGAAACCAGGAGACTCTGACACTTTGATCCCACCTCTGTCCATCAGCAGTTTTTTGGTTTTTTTTGGTTTTTTTAGGATTTTTATTTATTTATTTGACAGACAGAGAGCACAAACAGGGTGAGCAGGAGAGGGAGAAGCAGGCTTCCCGCTGAGCAGGGAGCCTGACACGCGGCTCGATCCCATGACCCTGGGATCATGACCTGAGCCGAAGGCAGACGCTCAACCAACTGAGCCACCCAGGTGCTCCAGGAAGTTTTTTTTTTTTTTAATGGTGATTACAGTCACCATTTTAACCATTTTATTTTATTTTTTTAAGATTTACTTATTTATGAGGGGGGAGAGGGCAGAGGGAGGGAAAATCTCAAGCAGACTCCCTGCTGAGTTTGGAGCCCCACTGTGGGGCTGGGTCCCAGGACCCCAAGATCATGACCTGAGCTGAAACCAAAAGCCAGATGCTCAACTGACTGGAGCCACCCAGGCACCCCTCCCTACCATTTAAACCATTTTATTTTATTTTATTTTATTTTATTGTTTTTTAAGATTTAATTTATTTGAGAGAGAGAGAGAGAACTAGCAGGGGGAGGGGCATTGGAAGAGAGAGGAAGCAGACTCCCCAATGAGCCTGGAGCCTAATAGGACACGGGGCTTGATCCCAGAAAGCTGGGATCGTGATCTGAGCCAAAACCAAGCATCAGGTGCTTAACTGACTGAGCCACCCAGGCACCCCTACCATTTTAACCATTTTAAAGTGGATAATTCAGTGGCATTTAGTACATTTGCAATGTTGTGAAACAATCACTTTTATCTAGTTCCAGAACATGTTTTCCACCTCAAAAGGAAACCTTGTGTTCATTAAGCAGTCACTCCCCATTCTCCCATCCCTGCAGCCCTTGGCAACCACTAATCTGATTTCTGTCGCTATGACTTTGCCTAATCAAGACATTTCATGTAAATGGAATGATACCACATGTAGCCTTTGTGTCTAACTTCTTTCACATACCACTATTTTTTTTCACCAGGCTAACCCATCCCCCCACCCCCTCCCCTCTAGAACCCTCAGTTTGTTTCTCAGAGTCCATCGTCTCTCACGGTTTGTCTCCCCCTCCGATTTCCCCCCCTTCATTCTTCCCCTCCTGCTATCTTCTTCTTTTTTTTTTTTAACATATAATGTATT